GCGAGCGTCAAACGATATGCCTCTCCATGCGAGCGTCAAATGATATGCCTCTCCATGCCATAACTGATCCGCCACCAAATGGAAGTCGTTTGACAATACACGCTTGAGCATTTCTGTCGCCTGGTCGTCTCCATACTCGTACCTAAACGTCTATCTGAGCCCGTAAGGGAGAATTGCGAATCATCGAAGTCAATACACGCCTCCAATCCGCTACAGCCCAAGCCTAGTTTTTTCGTGAAAAATTCAATCTTGCAATCCAGTGTTTACGAGAAAGCAGCGTCTAGTAGCTCTAGTTCGGGAAGATAATGCAGCAGCATGGAGTCGCCTCCTAACTGTCCACTCACTTATGTTTACATTTCCGACTTCTTGCACATGATTTTGAAGGGAAAATGTTCGGTTTCTTAAAACACTAGGTACGAGAAAACGGTCATTCCTAGCTGTTGTGATCCTGTCTGGCCTTTAGCCAGGTCTTCGAGTTAGCAGACCAGTTTCGTAGTACCGCCGCCATAATCGTTGCACACTCGAGAGGCATAAACGGCCTACACACGTTACGATTTTTCGTAGTGCTGCAGTAACGATAAATCATAACGTGTGTAGGCAAATTGGGTGTTTTGCAGTATACAGTCGTCGAATCTTTCGCAGTACGGAGCTTCCATAAAATATCGTATCAACGATCGTGTCTGGGGTGGGGGTTGTAGACAAGTTGGAACGTGTGGAGCTTATTGCTGCGGCAGTTACGATTTTATATCATTTAAAGCAAATCATTTAGGAAAAAGGGTTTTATAGGGTATTATATATATGAAAAATAAGACGTTCTGGAAAGAGTTTACTGCTATATATAAAGAAAATAGCTCCTGTGGGATGTAAAATCAAAAAATTACGCGAATAAAATATAAAGAAATTCAAGTTACGATATTTTATTTGCAAAATTTAAAGAGTTGTTGCCAAGCGAATCTCAAGAAGTAATAAAAAAGAAAATAAACAATATGAAAACTTCCTTCAAACGTGACTTTTGGAAGATTGAAATCTAAACCTCGGCAGTACGAGCTGTTGTGAGGTGTGAATTAAACATGACTGTACTGCATGCCGTACGATTTTCTTTACAATTTACAGTTCAACATGCAGTACGAAAAATCGTAACGTGTGTAGACCAACATTTCTTGCAGTTTGGCGCTAACCACGGCAATTTTCCAAAGCCGCCACAATTCTTGCCACAACAACAGAATTTATGTTCATTTCGATACACCAGTACACAAACAAAGGGCAATTGACAGAAGATAAAACTATAGAAAAAAGTATACTAATTGATAGTGGTTTTTAGTAATTCAGGCGAGGGCTCGTTTTTTGTCAAACGTCTATCGCAGAAACAGCAACAACCATGTATTTGAAGCAATTCATTAGTACAATATGGTACATCCAAAATAAATCAAATGAAACCATAAAGATAACTTCAACTCATGGCGTGACCCTAATTTTATTCCCGGCAGTGTAAATATGCGAGAGATAATATAAATATGCATATAAGTACATTATATCTGCATATGAATATTACTACTGCAAGTATTCTTGCAATTTCATAACTTCCAGTTTGAAATTGAAAATTGAAACAAGTTTAAGATGTCATTAGCGGAACAAGAAATTCCTGAGGTGTGTGAAATTTGTCATCTTCGCCCAAGTATGTGAAAATGACAATATGTCCAATTCACGCTTTATTCATTTGAAAAATTGCCAAAAATTTTGAACTCTCTTCAAAATGCGTGCTGGAAACCTATTCAAAAGTTCGAAAACAACAGAGCTTGATTATCATCAATTCAAAAGGTGATTTCCAGTGATTATTGGTATTGATATGCATAGGCGGCGTTGACATAGATTTGTGCAAGGCAAATGATTTTTTGGCAGCAATACCCCCTTATCTGTGAGACGAATTCGTCTCACAGATAAGGGGGCTCCTTTAAAACCGTGTTGATTTTATTTACTAAGTGAAAAAATGAATTGAAAGCTCAAATTTTGAATACTTCAGCATAATACTCAACCAAAATCTGACTGCGAACAATCATTCTCTGTAAAAATATAGGAACGACCAGAAAATGCTTCAGAGTATTTGGAAGACAAGGACATCTGAAATTGTAGATCCCAAGATCCACTGTTACTTATGCCTCATTGAACAGTTATAAGCAATGCAATATTTCTAGATACACGAAGATTATGGATTTTATTTCACTATTTCCCATGTCGACAATCATAAACGTACCTCAGCTGAGTGTGATTTCCAAGTGAAGTTACAAAATTCCTAAACATCTGCCAAAGAAATGCTGATAGTTTGAAAAATGCTCCAAAAAACGAATCTACATAGCAATAACCTAAACATATTTGGCAGACCAGCAGCGCTGAAACCTCCAAAGTTAATTATAAGGTTAGAAATTTTTTCCGTTTTAATGTCATGTTTAGTGTCATGTTTTAATGTCCATATCTCAATAAATATTTATTCTACGGTGTCGTGGTATATACTGATCGATACAGAATTTTGTACTCCATACATTAATGGCTCTTCTCAGGCTGTTACTATATGATGTCATCAGGCAATGTTCAGCCAGTTTTTCTCTACGAAATCAAATTGAATCAAGCATTTGGCAATGTTAGTGTTAATGAACGCACTGTTCAACGTTGGTTTGCGAAATTTCGTTCCGGGGATTTTATAGCTTCGAAGATGAGCTCCGAAGCGGTCTACTTACAGTAATCCAGGACGAGGATTCGAGGACCCTGGTGGAGACTGACCCATCACAAACGGTACGTGGTATGGCGGAAGAAGTGGGCGTCAGCTCCCATGCGGATTTTATGGTTTGAAACGTATTGGAAAGGCTAACAGGTGCCCAACGATTTGAACGATCGATAAAAATCTTTCACGTTTCGAGGTTTGTTCTTCTTTATGTGTGTTCTTCATGTGTGATAAAAAGTGGGTCCTTTACGACAACAGGAGACGTTCAGGCGAAAGGTTAGACACGCATGAGCCACCCAGGCACTCGCCAAAGGCGAAAACCCACCAAAAAAGACCATGTTTACTGTAAAATGGACAGCTGCTATTGTGATTGACTATAACTTTCTGCAACCGGGCCAAACCATCACAGCAGAATCTTATTGTGGGGAAGTTGACGAAATGTACCAAAAATTGCGTCAGCAGCAGCCAGCACTGGTCAACAAAAGTGGCCAGGCCAGGCAAAAACGGCCTTCGTTGACTTCATCGAATCCCGAGCACACAGTTTGAATGCTGACGGAATCAATCGAGTTGTGTTGTGTTGGCAAAAGTGCACTGTGGAAGTTCAGTTTCCCCATGAAATGCCAATTGCAGATCGTTCAAATGAATATTTCGATGTCTCCAAACCACTTTTCGCTTTTGCAACCTTTTTTTTACCGATTCGTCCACCGAATGCTGCAGGACAGATTTATTTTGATCTTCTGGTACAAATTCTTCCTCTATCTTATTAGAAGACTCCTACGATAACGCTTCTTCAATATCTCGTTTTGATCTTCAAGTGCATTTATTATATCTTGGTGCATAATCTGGGTCAGCAACACTATCTGTATCCGAAAAGTCCAAGCCATCCTCGCTGTCTGAGCAATTCTCCCAAATATCAGCCAATTCTTTGTCAGTAAGCGGTTTTCTCCAATCCATGCTTATTATGAAAGTTTTACCTCTCAATGCACAGTGTTGCAATTCTGCAACAATTCATAATCAATTATCACTATCAATATATTATATTTGACATTCCTCATGAAATTATGTCCAAAGTACATAGGTACCTTATTACACAAGAATACAATTTTCTTATGAAGTTTTCTGCAATAACACTTATTATTCTTCAGTTTACTGCATCTATACTGTAACCGTCAAATGTCAACTGGTAACGAAGTATAAATTCCAAAATCGTAAATACATTCCCTTTTATAATCGAAATATCCGAGGTATATTTCGAATTGGATCGTTATAGATATGCAACGGTGTGCCATGGCATCGTATAATAGCCAGTATAAATTTAAAAGCCTATGAAATTGGTTGTGCAATATTGCAACAATTTAATGAACCAAGATCTTCGAATTTGTGGATGCCATGCCACTAAGTGATTTCTGAAAACGTCATCTTCAAGAGAAACGAAAACTTATTTGATCTAGAAAAAATTAGTTTCATCGTAACCACAGAATCATCTTATTTTCTGAATTAACAAAAGAAAGCCAAATTGGTGTATTCTGTAGATATTGAATGAACGAACCTTCGACTGCCAAGAAAACCTCGATATAGCTAAAAAGTAGGCACTTCATTTTATAAAACAAATTGAAACTTGTTTTTAAGCATTTCAATTTTGGTTTCTTCTGGTATATAGATCTTCTCCAAACTCCGAAAAATTGTAATGTGGTTCATTGAAGTGTTTCATATTCTTACTTTGATTCGATTGTTCATTTCGTTTCGAATATTCTCCTCATAGATTGGCTTCTCAATTCTCGATAGATAGGGAGAGGTAGATCAGGAACTTTTATCTAAATATACATACCAACTTGTTATTCCTTAGAATAAGGAGACAGGTTTCTTGGTCACCTCATTTGGTATCGAAAATCGTATTGGTATCCCTGACATGTGTTTTCGCCAACCAATTGAGAACAAATGAAAGTGAAATTTTGATAGTGGAAAGCTTAAGAACCTCATAGATTTTAAGGCTGAAAATAAATTGAACTATGTGACAAGTTTTTTTATTTCATAGAATGTCCTCATACAAGCTGTATGATAGTCGACATCTTCCAACCGAAACATGAAGAATATTGTGGTTTTTGTGGCAAAAGTATTTGGAGTAGCACTCCTATATGTTGCCTGCTTTATTCGCTCATGGTGCGCCCATGACAGTTCTATTTAACAGGTTGAGCCGTGAAATAGCACCTATTCTCGAAGTTTAATTATAAACTATTAGTTTAAGTTCCGTGCAATGTTTTAAAGCTCCGGATTCCGTGTTTATCTGATTCTATTTCTGATAGTGTTCCACGCAGAGAGCTTGGAGCGCTTTAAAACCTCTTTCGACCAGTTACGGTGAAACTTTACACCAAGGTGTGTTAGTTTTGTGATTTCTCAACTTTCGTAACATAATCAGTGCAATATGGATTATGATTTTGATCCTTTGGAACATACGAGCATATATCAAAGAAAAGAAGGTATCTTCACACTATATATTAGATATTAGAGTTAGGATGAGAGTATTGATGAATCATGAAATGTTAGCAATAAGAGGTACTACATATTGAAATTCAATTAAAATAACTTCAATTGTTTCAATTACTAGGTGCGGAGATATAATATTTCGTTATGACAATCTATTTTTTGCAAAGTATACATGAAATTCCAGTTTACATATTATGTAGATATTCATCCTCGTTTTATGTAGAATTGCTGGAGTGATATTTCAATTTTTTTTACTTGTTTTTGTATCAGATGTCGAAGTAAACGATATTGCACACTTAAGGTTGGCGGCACTCTCAAAGGCCAAAAAACCAACACAAAGAACTAATGCCGCTAGGAATTAGTCCACGTGGACTGAAGAATTAGCGGTTCGTATTGGATAATTTTTACTAACTGAGTTTTATGATCGGCTGAAGAGTCATGAAATTAAATTTGAAGTCATGTTACGGAAACGAATAGAAATCGGGGAAGGCGGAGATGGTTATCACCGTCGTGTTCAGTTCAGGAACTGATCGCGATTTGAGTGTTGAAATTCAATATTGGTGCAGTTATGATTACTTAAAATTTTTTGTTATCTGTTTAAAATGTGGCCATCTTGGACAAGTACTAATAGTAATAACGAGTGTGATAACAACGCAGACTTTTTCCACTGTAGTGATTCCAATAGCGATGGTGAACAATGCGAAAAAGAGATATTAGTGAATAATATTCGGATGCATTTGTATATAAGAATCTACATCTCAAGTTTAGTTTCGAGGGAAATAAACTATTACAAGCAACATCAGATTTGACCGAAATTCCTTTCTCAACTGTACGTAAAATTGTCAAAATAAATCTTATGAATGCAAGACGCGATGTGATACAGGCTTACCAAAACCTGTAGATGTTCATCTAATAAAATCATTGAAAATACAATATACGACTGTTACAAAAGCAATGAGATTCCAGCAACTGAAATCATAAGGAAGAAATTGAATACTTCCGGCCATAACGTGAGCTGCCGTGACAAAACTCTTTTGAATTGGATAAAGAAACTAGAATTTAGATATAAAATAGTAAACAAACGTCAAGCAGTTATGGAAAGCAGAAGAATAGTGGAATTGCGTAACAAATACTTAAAAATCTGTTTAAAATCTGTTTTTCCGTTAATCAGCTGTCGCCCCCATACGAACGACAACTCTCAGAAGTTGAGAAACTTGTGCGAGCTAAGGACTAACGAGGTCTTACCTTTTAACGTGTGATTCCTAACACGGATTCCTTAGAACAAATAACTAAATATAGACAAGAACAAAGGCAAATTTTCTATTTGGACGAAACTTGGTATGACTTGGTCATTTGGTGAGGAGACAGTAAACGGTCGATTGTGAATTGAATTTTCTAAAAACAAGAATGATATGGTGTATTTAGTTGCAAGTTTTCCTGGAATGGAATAATTTTGGAATCCTATAGTGATTGGGGATTTGAATTTGCATAAATAATACTGAGGGATTGTAAATTTCTTTCGGCATGGCCGGTTCTAATTGCACGTATTTGTTAGTGTTGAAAACTTTCGTAGATTTGAAGGTAAGTACACTCCTGTTTAAGAATAGTATTGCCTTTTACCGAAGGTTTTCTTCTATAGGTTTTTTTTGTTGTTATAATTGAAAATCGAAGACCCAATTACTGTTTAAAAATCCAAAGTCGTACTATTGACTAGCTGAGAGAGCTGTAACTATTTCTTGTGTGATGTATAGATGTGAGTGTTTGTAAAATTCCTGGAGACGCATGGATACCTGCCTTTACCGTTACTGAGAGTTTCACCACATTTTCCACTACAGTATTGAAACGAGACAGTGTGCTGTCATTTGTCGAAAACATCTGTACTTCTTCTGGCAGATTATAAAGCCTTTCCCTGCGGCTACCGACTTTAGTATCTTTATATTTTTAATCTGTTATCTAGTTTTCAACGCCTTTACTTGATTTTATTCCCACTCTATTATATACTTTTTTGCACTGAAAATTAACTATTGTAGCTTTGTCTTTATGAGATAGGGCAGTGATTTTCACGAACTTTAGAATCAAATTGCTCAAAGTCTTATTTATGTACACCTTCTGCAATTGCATAATGGTACCCTTCAAATAACCTTACCAGAGGAATCCTAAACTTGATTCAGTTGAATAATTTTAGGTAAGCCATCACTTTGGTGCTTAACCTATAACCTATTTTTTAGTAATCTAGAGTTGTTTAATTCCATCCATTTTGGTATATCACCGCATTGGTGAGAGTTGAGATCATTTATATGTGTTTCAAATTCGTAAGCATTGTGATATCGATTAGGCACTATCCAGTGAATGTAAACCGTATTTGTCATCTTATGTAATTCGATTGAACAACTTGTTTCCAGATGGTGTTGATAATAAAGGTGTAATAAAGGTTAACAACTTGTTTTGATGTTTCAAGCACAAGTATAAACGCCCTGAGAGGAAGACTTCAGATCTGGCTCGGAGAATCAGAGGAGGTCGGGAGTGACAGTACCACTGCTCGTGGGCTAACGAAAAGCGAACTTTTCGTTTTCTTCGGTAAGAACTCATTCTCAGAGCCAGAGCTATAGCAACTATCAAGGTTGCAAGTGATGTTCGTGTCTCCAATAAGACAGATGACTCTTTTCTGGATGGAATCCAGCAGCTTCAGGTTATGCTTAGGTGCAGAGCTCCATATATGGAGCTCTGCACCAATACTCTAAAAAAGGTCTGATCTGAGCTTTATAAAGCATCGAAAGTTGTTGAGGTTTGCACAGTTTTCTGGTTCGGAACAGTGTTCAAAGCTTTTGAGAAGCAGCCTTTGCAATTCCAGCGACATTATTGTACTAAGACATATTGGTGTCCATTTTACCAAATCAGAAAGCGGAATTGTCTTTCCTGACATTATTATTATTATATTCGATTCGAAGACATTTATTTTTTTGAAGAAAACAAATGCCTGGTTTTTCGTGGCATTAAATTGAACCTGGTTACTTTCACCCCAATTCGAAATCACCTCTATATCCTCATTAAGATATGCAATTTCCTGCTGCCGGTGAAGATTACTGTGCGAACGATTGATTGTAAATCAAAATCAAAATGTATATTACTAGCGTCATATACTGGGAAAAATTAACCTCACTAAGACAACAAAATCCGTATTGGTAGGCAGTGGTCGAATTTAACCTGAAGTACCAAACGTTTCGTCTGCTACTACGGCAGACATCAGAGGTATGTGCGTTGACTGCGAAGACGAAGGTTATATCTCGAAGTCTCAGCAACGAGCTACGTTTTCACTCGTATTCATAATTCCAGAGGGCGATGGGGGCGATAGGGCTGATGGTGTATTCATCACTAAAACAAATACTTTTTATGCAATTTTGATTTACAATCAATCGTTCGCACAGTAATCTTCACCGGCAGCAGGAAATTGCATATCTTAATGAGGATATAGAGGTGATTTCGAATTGGGGTGAAAGTAACCAGGTTCAATTTAATGCCACGAAAATCCAGGCATTTGTTTTCTTCAAAAAAATAAATGTCTTCGAATCGAATATAATAATAATAATGTCAGGAAAGACAATTCCGCTTTCTGATTTGGTAAAATGGACACCAATATGTCTTAGTACAATAATGTCGCTGGAATTGCAAAGGCTGCTTCTCAAAAGCTTTGAACACTGTTCCGAACCAGAAAACTGTGCAAACCTCAACAACTTTCGATGCTTTATAAAGCTCAGATCAGACCTTTTTTAGAGTATTGGTGCAGAGCTCCATATATGGAGCTCTGCACCTAAGCATAACCTGAAGCTGCTGGATTCCATCCAGAAAAGAGTCATCTGTCTTATTGGAGACACGAACATCACTTGCAACCTTGATAGTTGCTATAGCTCTGGCTCTGAGAATGAGTTCTTACCGAAGAAAACGAAAAGTTCGCTTTTCATTTTAGAATATATTACGTATGATCAAATTATCCATTTAACGTGACATGATTGAACGAATATTCATTTGAAGTAGAGATATATGAGTGAATAAATTATGTTCATCCCTGCGTATGTTGATTCGCCAGTTAGTCTGGCCGTATTGTCCAATACGTTTTGGCGACAGGACACAACATCAGTTTCGAGAACACAAAAACACTAGCAAGCAATGAACAATCTGAGAGGCTATCGAAATTGAAAAACGACGTAGTAGTATGGACAAGTGGGATGACGCGCAAATATTACCAGCAACGTGGATATCCATCTTATCACTCCACAAAATCCCACGGTTGGACCGGTACAGAATATGTGCTCTACTCTTCCATCATCTTTCAAATAGAGACGGCCCACGCTGTTTTTCAAAAGTTCAAGTCTCTCCACAAAATGATTCAGACGACAGTGAGCTGTGAGCAGGCCAATTAGACAGTAGGCCATTCCTGTCTCTCAATTATTCAGTGATATACTTCGAAGGATGTAAAAATGCTTTAACAAGAGAGTCAACAGCTTCATTATATTCCAGGTCAGTGTGATCAGGAACCAGATCAAAGACATTTTGTTAAGTCTTCCTATTGAAGGTGAGAGCCACGAACTTTCAAATCCGCTTGGTTGTCCGAAAATATTTTCAATGATTCATATGTGACGCTGATTTCTGCTGATATTCTACAAATAAATCAACTGCGAAATTTTCCGATCGAAATTTGGACGCATAGGTTCCTTAGCAGGTTGATATTTCCGTCCTTTACTAGAACCTGAAGATATTTTTGGTCCGTCTGTGTTCCAACAGCCATCTATTCTTAGTACTTCGTTCTCCCGGAGGATCCAATCCTTCATACTCGGAATGAGGACTATATAAAGTAGACCGCAGTTTACAGTTGGAGGCATTAAGTCATTTCCAGAATGCTGCAACGTTCAGATAGCTTCAGTAGTCTGCTACGCTCCGCATAAGTCTGTATTATGCTATTGGTATTTTGCTCAATCCTGTATGTTGACCATCCCTCTCTCTCCAGAAAGACGTGTATATCTAAAATGATTGCTATGGCCGCTGATAATATAATGCTGATGACACCAGATATAGCAGGGCAAACCTGTCTCTGTAGCTTTGTCCGAGCCGTTTGCTGTGAAGTTTTCGGCCACCACTCAATTTCTCCGTACTAGGTCATTTTCTCGGGCCCTAAGCCGCAAGATTTTCCATAAATGCTTTGACATGTTCATAGGGACAATTTGTATAAAACCTTTTCCAAGTAAGCGTTCCAGGTGAGTGTTTTGAAGTATAATACCTAGATATTTGACCTTCGCTGCAAATGGAATAACCTCACCATTGAAAGAAAAAGAAGGGAAAATGTATTGTATCATTCCTGGCGAAGGGAAAATGTATTGTATCATTCCTGGCGAAGGGAAAATGAAATGTGTAACTTAAAAAACACCTTCTTGGATTGAAAAAACAATCGTTAAAATAATAATCTCCCCAAAAAAGTTTATTTTTGTTGTGTTAGATAGATGTACTTGCATCTAACACATTTTTAATAACTCCTTATCTTTGTAGATTCTGATGATAGTGATGGAGAGGGAGGCCTGGGAAATGTCAGCAGAATAATCATGAGACCTCCAGGCCATAGTGGGAAAGCAAAACGTGGCCACCTTTGTTTCGATGCCTCGTTCGAAACTGGAAACTTAGGAAGAGTTGATCTCATAAACGAATATGAGTACGATCTATTTATAAGGCCCGATACTTGTAGCCCTAAGTTAAGGTTTTGGTTCAACTTTACTGTAGACAACGTTAAACAGGACCAGGTGAGTTGGACTCTTAATGTACCTCTGAAACACATTAATTTTTTTGTTTTATCATTAACAGATTTTCCTTTTTTAGAGAGTGATTTTCAACATAGTGAACATCAGTAAAGAAAGGAACTTATTCATGGATACTATGACACCCTTAGTGAAGTCTTCTAGTAGACCACAGTGGTGAATATGTTTTTATTTTATTTATATAATATTCGCTACTACAATTTTTCAAAATTGTCCAAAAATAATCACCTTGTAGACTCAGTATGTACTATTCTGATCGGAGAACTTTGTTCCGCTGAGCCTCATTATCTTGATCAATTAATTTCGTTTGTGAAAATGAATGAAAAATTTTTAGGATGCTTTCCGTTTTTATGCCCAATACGAAAATCTGTATGTATGGAAAAATGTATGGAAATTATGATTATTTTTCCTGGAGGTAACCTAATTATTAATTCGATTTTCTCTCACTTGTCGCAAAATTACGCGCTTGCGCCGTGGATTCAAGACAATTTGACATGAAATATACAGTTGATTTTCAAACCGTTTGACAGTTTACATGTATATATTAAATAGTTTCTACGGTTTCAACAACTATTACACAGCTAAATCATCTAAAGAAACACTTCGTTCTGGCCAGTCTCAACTCCCTACACTGTAGGTTAATGGACTGACACTTATCAGAAAACAATTAGTCCCCTGGCTAATACCATGAAAGGCGTGAGATTATATTCAACAGGTATCAGTGCAGGATTCTTCACTGAAGCTATTCCTGCATATGCTGTTGGCGATACTACTGCAGCAATAGACTTTCAGTTATTGGAACACACTTGCAGACCGGTTTCAGGCTGTTTGGCCACTCGTCAGTGCAAGGTAGTGTCTATCATCAACATAAAGTCGATGATTTTCGATAATTGAAAATCGAATTCCTTCAGAGTATCATTTCTGGAACTACGCTGAAGCGGACAACAAACAACAGCTTTGTCATCGCCCCATCTGCCTGTGAACGAGGTAACCAACCGCAACACGTGTTTCACTATACAATAGCTTCCTCAATTATATGTTCATACTGACTAAATTTCTACCTAACTATAAAAATATTTCCTACTTTATTTACCAATTTGAATCATATGGCCTTCTACATACTTAACGACTAATATTTTTACAAGAGTCAAGATATCAACTTGATTGAATAATTCAACAAAACTGAAAAATTGTACATTGTATACTAATTGAAAAATTGAATGGACATGTGATACTAATTACCAGTTTCCACATCAGAAAACAGAATTAACAGATGGAAAGAATTCGATGCCTAATTATTAAATATATCGATTTCCAAGCATTCCAAAAATTGAGTTTCAAACTATTCTCTTTGAAATGAAATGCCTACGTCATAGTAGTAGTTGATTTTGTGCCTCTTTGATGGAATTCGTCACCACATTCAAAAAACTAATCCTATGTTCTTTCATTCTTTGGGAAAAGGATCTCCCCGTTCGGCCAGTATCGAGTTTTGGGCAAGAACCATAAGTCATCTCATATACTCCTGATCTATCCGAGTTTTGTCTTTCTTGTTTTTGAAATATTGCTTGAACTATTATGTGTTCTGTAAGCCAGGGCCGAGTCGTTCCTGTACAATTCTTTGAAGATTCGTCTCGAATATATCAGTTAAATTTTTGACATGATTTCAAATTGTATCTCAAAGGTTCATTTGAAAAACATCTTACAAATATTTCATACTAGTTTCATGTATATTTTAGAACTGATTATTCCTTTATTGGTTCAAACTTGTAAAATTCAAAGCGAAGTTCACAAAAATGATACAAGATTCGTCAGAGATATTTCAGAAATAGTATATGATGGAATTATCCGATACTTGGTGAAAATCCATAACAAACGTATTCAAAAAACACTTTATTATGAGATTTTACTAAACAGTTTTACAAAAACGAAATACGTGTTTTGCCATACAATGGCTCCTTCGGGCGTGTCTTTACTCCAGACACGTAAAGGCACGTTCGAAGTAGCCATTGTATGGCGAAACTGTTTAGTGAAAATCTACAATAAAGTGTTTTTTGAATACGTCAGAAATAGTAGATTCAAACATATACGTACAAATATTCAGAGCTTAAAAAATATCAACAGTCACATAAATAATTGTCAATTCGCCCCGGCTTCAAACTAGTGCAATTCAGAGTTTTGTTTTATTTATTTCAACGTGAAACAAAGTTCAAGTCCACAGCTTTTTATGTGCGTCATAACTTCTAAACGAAATGTCAGATTCGTATAAGTTCAAGAGGAATTTCAACCTTGATTACGTAACTACTCAGTTAGATAAGATTGATATACGAATGCCACCGTCTTTCTAGTCTACCCGTGTTTTGATTGATTTATTCGAACGAAAAGCGGTTGAGCTTTTTTATCCATTAGATCGATCCGGACCGGCTCAGCCTGCAAAATATAACCATAACGCCTATACCGGACTCATCAACGCAATGAAACATTATAATTATTATTACTAGTATCATTAAATTGAGGGAAGTAGCCGTTACTACGTGGTAGGAGATCATAAAAAAAAATAGAAATAAAACTTTCTATGTTTCTTTACCACTTTTATTTGTAACTAATGTTACTGCGGTTTCGTCCTATAAGGGCATTTTCTAACAATTACGATGAACTGAAAATAAATCATAACGTTAGCTCTTATATATCTACTGTAGGTGATAATAGAAGTCCTTAACTTAATTGAGTACCTGAAAATTGTTTATCTGTGCCAATGTGGACATGCTAATTTGAAAACTGGTGAGTAAACTAATTGAGTTTCCAACCTTTGCTTGCATACTGCAAAATTTCCTTATCGTTTAGATTCGGGAACTTGTGGTTGCATTCCAAGGAATGGTTTGAAAATGTCGAATCATTTCTACCTAGTCTAAAGGACCTTTCACGTTGAGCATACCGTTTTAAGAAATTGCGACCACATTGTCCCACATAAACACTATTACACTCCGGACACTTAAACTTATAAACTCCAGATTTCTCCATCTTGTCCACTTTAGGTTAGGTCAAGTTAGGTCCAAAGTGAGTGGGTCCATTCGATCCTCCACCGCAACCCGCAAGGGTTTAATGTGGTTCACACCTATTCACACTCGGCCAAATAAACCCAGCTTCTTAAGGTCAGGTCAGGTCAGGTCTTTCAGGTCAGATGGTGAGAGTACGGCTCTGCCAAACTTTAAAGACCTGATTCGTTCCCTAGCGGGGCAGGCACGAAGTATATGCTCTGTTAATGAAGTAGCCGGATAGTCAAGTCGCAAGATTTCCACCTTGATACCCAACAACCTTTCCATATGAGGGATTTTGCACGTCAGCTACACCTGACGATGCCTTAAATTCAGCCGTGCAGGGATTTTTCGCCTCTGGTTTTGGTGAATCATCACTTGAGCACAAACGTTTGCTAACCTGCTCATGGGGGGTTTGTTCCCCCACCTGAGACAGATTCTGCGTACGCCGCAGCTCTCGCTCCTGAACTAAATTTACAGGGAGGTCAGTTGGAGTCGTAAACTCGACATCCATCTCCTCTGTAGACTCGCTCCTGAACTAAATTTACAGGGAGGCCAGTTGGAGTCGTAAACTCGACATCCATCTCCTCTGTAGACTCGCTCCTGAACTAAATTTACAGGGAGTCAGTTGGAGTCGTAAACTGGTCCCCACATCCCAAGCCAATGCACTCGCCGAAAACAGCATTCACAATGGTTCAGGCAGTGAAAGATGAACAAGGACAGCCAACCCGCCTTTGTCCACTTTATCTTTGGTATTAAAAAGGAAATTAGATAACCTGGCATGTAATCTAAATGCCACTTCCACATTTTTTTTCGCGGTTTTTTTCGCGGTTTTTTTCAGAAAAAACAACTTGGAAGTGGCATTCAGACCACATGCCAAGTTATCTAATTTCCTTTTTAATGCCAAAGATAAAGTGGACAAGATGGAAAAATCTGGAGTTTATCAGTTTTAGTGTCCGGGGTGTAATAGTGTTTATGTGGGACAATGTGGTCGAAATTTCTCAAAACGGTTTGCTGAACATGAAAGGTCCTTCAGACTAGGTAAAAATGATTCGACGTTTTCAAACCATTCCTTGGAATGCATCCACAAGATTCCAAATCTAAACGATATGGAATTTTGTAGTATGCAAGCGAAGGTTGGAAAGTTGGTGTGAATATTTTTTTTCGGTTGAAAGCCGTGGATTTTTGGAAATTTTTTCCTGGCTGGCGCGAGTGGCTAATTTCTTCAGAGGTTTATACATCTTGAGTTCAAATCTCCGATGACTGGATATTACGGCCACGTAACGCTATTTATGCTGACTCATCAGGTAGTTTGTTGTGCTAATGCCTGTACCTGGCTTGGGTAAAGTTAAAAACTCAATTATTTGAAATTCTTGGAAATTCAGTAGGATAAGCATTGCGGATGTAATCTGCTAAATGATTAAATCGATCTAATTTCCTCACCAGTTTTCAAATTAGCGTATCCACGTTGTCACAGGTAAACAAATTTCAGGTGCTCAATTAAGTTAAGGACATCTATTATCACCTACAGTAGATATATAAGAGCTAACATTATGATTTCCAGTTTATTGTAATTGTTTGAAAATGCCACAGGACGAAAGTGTAGTAACATTAGTTACAAATAAAAGTTGTTCAAAAACTTAGAAAGTTTTATTTCTCATTTTTCAGTATTATCGTTATTATTCACAGTTGTGATTGGATCATTGAACTGACAAAAATTGCTACTGAACATCAAAAAGGGTGGAACAGAAGTCTTGAAAATTTGGGAATAATTGTTCAATAATTATTCAATCAATCTGAAAAGTCGGGCAACTGGTAGATAAAATCAGAATGCTAAACGAAAGCCCTGGAGGATTTTTGTGGGAGTCTTTCCAATATCAGACAGATCCTCCCGGATCCTCCTCATTTGAAGATATATTATCTTTCATAATTCGCATATTAATTCCTAGAATAATATGAGGGAAGGAAAGTTGTTGATACCCTGTATTCTACTCGAAGTTCAGTTATATTGAGAAATGTTGCTGTAATTTTTCGGTTTGAAAGGTCAGGCGCCGAATGCTGCGCACCTATTTCGCTGGATTTTTTTTCCTTTTAGTAAAATATGTCAAGATATCATCATCTAGCAGAGAGGGTGAATCAATGTTTTTTTTATTATCTGACATGGATAGAGAAAAATCCGACCGTCTACCTCCGACCCATGCATACTACGACCGGCCAGCATCGGAAACCGGCAAAGAAATCCCTGCCTGCCGACCATTATACAGTGCTAGTCAAAAGTCCCCTGCCCCCCTCGTATCTTTGGAACGGGTATACTTATAATAATGAAATTTGGAGGGTGGAAATAAACGGATGTAGGCTTCTTAACTGGTCATAACAGGTGACGCAATAGTCATAAATGACGTCACAAGGCCACTNCGTCACCTGTTATGACCAGTTAAGAGGCCTACATCCGTTTATTTCCACACTCCAAATTTCATTATTATAAGTATACCCGTTCAAAAGATACGAGGGGGGAAGGGGACTTTTGACTAGCACTGTATATAGGCAGCTTGACAGGCAGCATATTATCTCACATTCACATCAATAATAATTCTTTCACGGTTTTTAAGAAAACAGGTTCAATAATGGTGATCATTAGAATGAAGGATGTCTCAATTATGGTTACCTGTAGTATATAAATATTAATGTAAAAACAAGTTGAAGTATTCAAATCACTTGAGAAAGCTACTGTGCTAGCGAAACATGTTGTGATGTGATATATTTTTTTTAATAAAGTTTGTGAGGATCAAATCGTGAGGTGTAGTTTTTGAAATTACATTATTTTATGTATCATCAATATTTTCCGCAGCGCATGTCAAGTAATGACTTTTATAGGCAAATTTGTGATAACTTGTGTTTGTTAAATTTTTCAATTTATCCCTTTTGGGTTTTTCATTGAATAACATGTTTCGTAAAATATTCTTACTAGTAAATGACGTAACTATGTTAAATTCTGTAAAATAGTTTTTTATGTTTTCAGAGAGCTTTCCCGAATAGCTTATGCTGACATATTTCTTAACTTCTTCAGGTTCTTCATGATTTAGATATAGTTCATTCATGATCAATGTTTGGTTTTTATTGGAGATGATTTTCATGAAAAATGGAAAATTAAACTTTTACCACTGTTATTTTCAATTAATTTTATTACTGCACTTTCGTCCTATAAGGTCCTTTTCAAACAATTAAAATGAACTCAATAACAACATCAGCTACAAATAAAAGTGGCAGAAAACATAGTTTTATTTCTCTCCACGTATATAGTAACGGCTACATCCATCAATTTATTAAGATGATTTTCTCAGTTGCGTTGACTGTAATATGGTTATTAGATTCGATGTGCTTTATGATCTTCATTTCTTCTCTGATGAAGGAATCATAAATGCTCTATGTATCATCGATCTGAATGCAGATACTTTATGTGATAATGGACTGAAAGAATCCATAGGGATTGTGCACTCCGTAAAAGTGTTTTTCTTATATATGTTAAATTGAAATGTATTATAATTTCAATAATAGTAAGATCAAGAAAGTTGTTTTCTTAAATTTCGACCGAGAGTTTTATCTTATCGTGGAGGGTGTTGAAGAAATTCAGAAACTGATTTATCTGTCTCGTCGAGCCGTCAAAACCCACGAGTATATTATCCACATATCTAAACCAGAATGTAACGTGTTTCTGTGATAAGGCATTATTCAGGATACGCGTGTTTTTCAAGTTGTCCATAAAAATATCTGCTAGTAAGGGACTCAGCGGTGACTCCATTGGGAGGCCTGAATTTTGCAGGTAAAAGTTTTCGGTATAAAATAGCGTTTTCGTACTCTGTTTTCATTTTTGTTCTTCATTATTATTATTATGACATTTTCTGGGTTGTTATATTTCAGTTTTTCAGGCAAAGGATACCGAAAAAATACGTCTTCTACCATAAATCCGTTTTACATCAAGGGCATTACGTGTTGAGTTTTTCGTTTGGATTCGACAAGGAAGACGATGTGTTTCAATTCAGTTTAGCACCACCGTATAGCTATACTAAGCTTCAAACATTTTTGAGTACTTTAGAGAAGAAAGCTACGTACCTGAGCGACAATTTTAAAAGAGAACTTCTGGAGAATAGTGTGGTAAGGCGTTTAAAAATTATTCATCTTGATATGTTTTTAAATAAGTGTCAAATTATATTTCAGTTTTCAGCAAAAGAGAAGGCTGGACTTGATTACCATTGGATCTCTAGATAAAACACGGCCCAAAGCTAGAAGACGAGTTATTGCCATCATGGCCAGGGTTCATCCAGGAGAATCCCCTGCAAGTTTTGTTTGTCAAGGTAGATGTAAATTTCAAGTGACACTGCAACACTTTCAAATGTTTTTATAGGTTTACTGGAACTACTCATCAGCTCTAACTCCGTTGCAACTATCCTCAGAAAGCATGTGATTTTCAAAGTCATTCCCATGCTGAACCCAGATGGAGTGTTCTTAGGAAACTACAGAAGTACTGTTATGGGAACAGATTTGAACAGAACGTGGCACATCGCAAATCCTTGGTGTCATCCGACTATAAGAGCTGTAACAGATATGTTAGCGACGTTGGATAAAAACAAAGTAAATATATGCATGAAAACTATCGGGATATTTGTGAAAAATTGTAAAAAGTAAATGTTGAACTTTGGACGAAACATTTATCAAAATTGAAAATTGCTCTTCAGAAGAATTATTGAAAATGTAGGTATTCAATTTTCGTTACTATTTATTTTTATTGGGTATATTTGGATGTCTATAATGGAATTTATAGACATGCAAAGGACATCCATTTGGACTTCCATTTTTTATCTGGGGAGTCTGTAGAAATTGTAGGTAAGATGAAGAAAATAGGAACATGTCTGGACTAGTATATTCCGGGGGATTACAAAAGATGAATATGAAAGGATCAAACGATCACAAATTAGCAAGGCGCTGCCTATAGGGAGAGCGCAAAAGGCCCTGAATATTTCACCGAGAAGGACCCTGAAAGAAACCAAATCACCAAAAGGACCAATATAAATTAAAACTTCGAAGTGGAGAGATTGAATATCTGGGAGTGGTACTAAATCCTAGACTAAGCTAGAACCATCATTTCAATGCGACTATGAATAAGAAAAAAATCATGATGTATCAGTTAAACACAATGGTGATTATTCTAACGATGAGGTGTGCATCTTCAGTTTGGTGTTCATATTAATGGTGTTCATGTTAATAGCGATTGCTATTAACAAACTGCATGTTTGGGAATAACAGTAGAAATGAAAAATACACTAATATTAGCTTTGTAGACACTCTTGAATCTACCCCATTTGCATCTTGTAACAATGGGAGAGGCAAGATAGGGCTAATCTCGGAGCTGGTGGATATGGGTCCTGAACCATATTTGAGAGTATCAAAAGCATTGTACGAAAATAGATCAGGATAATATTTGAAAAAAACTAGAAAAATATACCTTAGAACAGATATACTGTAAATCTTAATAAGGAAACCGAACGTCGAACTGCCTCAACAGAGCAGAGATTGGCTTGGAATTATTAAAGAGCTTCTCAGTCACACTGTCTATTTAGAGGACACCTGAGCAAAATAGCTATATAACGTAGTAACATTCGAAACTTCACAAGTGTCCACTATTTACACATACACGTGGCGGTTCAGGAGTGACAATGAAGTGTCAAAATGAACTTTTTTGAATTGTGTATATTCAATTATCTATCCCTTTCTATTCGTGTAATAAGTGAAACTTTATATCTATGAAAATCTATTTTCAGGAATTCCAGTTGGATTTTGTGATAGATATTCATGCACATTCCAGTTTGAAAGGATGTTTCGTTTACGGAAACACATATGAAGACGTATACAGGTATCGTTCAAGTATTGCAAATTATTCGTTCACTTACTCATGTGTTTTTAGATACGAGAGACACATACTGTTTCCAAAATTATTGGCATCTATCTCTGATGACTGTATTCCTGAGAATACGATGTTCAATTCCGACATTAATAAAATTGGAACCGCTCGAAGATACCTTTGTTCGTTTTTAAGTGACAGGGTGAATTGTTATACGTTTGAAGTGTCAATTTTTGGATATAAATTGAAAGGATCTGAAGTTACTCTTCCTTATACAGAAGACAGTTGTATCCTTTTGCAACCGGAATGTTCTTATTTATAGAAAAGGGATCAAACTATTGGTCAGTTGTCGCCCCTTCCAGATGTAAATCGTTTAATCTGTCTGGAATAAAAATAAAAATACATGGACAGTATGTCCTCTCTCTCTCGTATTAGGAAGTTACCAAGTCACAACAAGTGGTGAGTGTCCTCTAGAATGGTGAAGTTTATGTTCCATGTTTGGTAGATGCTACATCCCCAAATACAAAACTGTATGATGGTGATTATTGTCAGGTAACAGTTTTCAAAAGTCAATCAGGATGGAGAAATAGTCAAGCTGGTTCAAGTTTGAACAATAAAGAATTAAAGATAGTCCTTCACAATACCCGATTACATCAACGAAACCCAACATCCAGACAAAACTGGATATTTCAATTTGTATTACCAGTTTGGATCATAACAAACCCAAAAGGTCCTTGTAATTTGCAATGTATTTTGCCTATAAGAGGTATAATACCCTGATGTGTGTACTCGTTTCAAACGATTTCATCACTATATCACGAAAATTATTATACCAAGAGTCAAAACTAGCAAGCATAAGGAAAATCGCAAATTTAAAGAAAATTGAAAGAAAAATTTGGAATTTGATGGTTGTTGGGTTGTGATCAACTATAAGTTAATTTCAATTTGTAGTAGTAGTTTGAATCTAAAAAATGCGTGAGGAGGGTAAAAACTGGAATATTTGAGTTTTCTGATAGATATTTAGAAACGTTCTAGGAATGACATAAATTGTTCCAAAAACATCTTGAAGTCTAAAAACTGTCAAAAGGGGTTTTCAAAACATCCCAAGAGGGTATGGAAAACGCCAAACAGTGTATGGGAAACGTTTGAAGGTGTTCTAGAAGCGTATAAAAGCTTTCTAGAAATTTCTACACACGACAGAAAGCATTCAGAAAAAGACAAATTGCGTTTTAATATAGTGGTAGCTCAGCCAGAGTGAATCGTTCTACTTGATCACTCGGCTGATATGTGAACGATGGTTCGAGACCGACAGACAGACTATCTATCAATTTCCATTAGGTACGAATCATCCAATTCGTTCTAGGAATAGCACGTTAAGAAGTAAAACCTCGTTACTCCTAAGCTCACTCACGTTTTGACTACTGATGCTTGTAGTTCGTGAAGAGATGATAGTTGGTTAACGGAAAAATAGATTTTGAAACAGTTTGACAATTTCAAGAATACTTATATTACAGTAATCAACACAAGAGTTGACATTTTCCAATAAGAATATTCGATAACTAGATTTTTATCAGCTTCAAGTAATCTACCTTCTTCGCGAACGCTAAAAACATGGTATCGTCATATACTAATTTTTTAACTTTACAAAAATCGTCACATGGAAATACCTCCAGATCAGATTCATATGGATAAGACGGAAAGGCTTCTTCAAAAAAGTTAGTCCTTTTCTTTGTGAATAGCTTTATCGATTTGACCCATTCGAATGTGATAATATTCAGGGTGGCGATAGCCACCCTGAATATTCTCGCTGGAGACAATCCAACTACTATTCGATGATCTCCAAGTGGAAAAGAAGTTTATAGAAGGACGTGAAATTCAGGCTTGGCAGCCAATTCATATTTTCTCAAAATTACATCCAATTCTTAACTGTAGTCGGACATACTGCTTTCACTGAAACCACTCTCTTCAGAACCCATATTGACTTACTGAAACCGAAAGCTGAAACTTTGAACAGGAATGTAAACATTTTTGAATATATGGTTCCTAAAATATGTGGTCTACCAAAAATTCACAAATCTGGCAAGTCGATGCGACCAATTGTCTCCACGGTAAGTTCCTCTACATAAAAGAGTGCTAAATCTAACCAAACAGTTCGAAACTCATTCAATCTCACAATTGAGTTTGTTTTGGTAATTAACATCATTCATGGATAAAATTAGGATGTTAAGATGCGAGATGGAGAGATTTCAGTTTCGTTCAATATATCCTCGTTTCCAAGTGTCCTCATACCAAAAGTTAGTGAATTTTTGGGGGTACTTCTGAGGGCCAATAGTCTCAGTGGAGAAATAATCTGCAAGGAACAGAAACGTTTCCAGTTCAACAACTGCTTCTTCAGACAGCACGAAAACACTGCAATGGAAAACCCACCATCCCCCTTCATAGCTGATCTGTTCATGAGCAGAGTAGAGAACTTTGTTTCAACTCTCAACAGCAGATCCCCGAACATATGAATTTAAAAACAATGAGGAGTTACCATTCTTGGTAGTCTTAGTAATCAGAAGTAACCAGGGTCAAAAATGTTATGTCTACAGGAAGAATACCAGTACTTTCAGATATATTTCTCATAGCTAGCATCATTGTCCACAACACAAAATGGTAGGACTAAACTCTCTTGTTTATAGGCTTGTTACGTTCCCCTTGAGTAGGTAAAGAAAGACAGGATATTAAAAAATGTTATCAGGGACATAGCTGAAAACAACTGAAAGCAAATATGGTTAAGTTGACTAGAAAAGTTAAATTTAGGAAGAATATTCGTGAATCTTTTCAAAGAGACACTAATGGATTAGTTCAAATTTTCAAAAAGTTGAACGTAAAAGTAGCCTTCAAAACCTATTGCTAACTCCAACAAATTTTAGGTAACTCTAAAGACAAGATGTTGGAAAATGAAAAGTCGGAGATATATGAAAAAAGCCGTCAGGTCTGTGATAAATATGCAAATTCAAGATGGCCGCAGCTACAAAATGGCGGATTATATATTTTTCCAAAACTACCTCAATATGGGTATCAAATGATAGGGCTGGATTAATAGAATACTAGTACACTTTGAAAAAGTAGCAAATTCAAGATGGCCGTAGCTACAAAATGGCGGATTACATATTACCTTGTAATACTGAGGCACTAAATGAACTATACAGAATGAGAAGAATTGAGTAACAAAATTAGAAACTATAAACTTGAAAATAAAATAATTGAAAAAAAATCATGTTTAACAGTTTTATTGAAAAAATAATAATAATAATGATGTAGATGAAATATTAAAAAATAATTCTAATGGTCGTAGGTAGCAGTCATCATACCATTCTCCTCAGCAATCTACGGTATTGATCAGATGAAAAATAATAAAATCGTTTGGCCTAGTATTTACATATTTACCTACTCAGGTTACGCCACGCCCAACGATTTTATTATTTTTTATCTGAAATACCATAGATTGCTGAGGAGAGTGTTGTAATGATTGCTACCTAGGACCTTCCGAATTATTTTTTTGTTTTTAGTACCTACATTATCAACATCATTATTATCTTTTTTTTTTGGCAATAAAACCGTTTAACATACAATTTTTTTACTTATTTCATTACTGGTACGCATCTAGTGCGCAAATGATCGCTGATTGACCCATTTCAGAACACAAATAGTAGAAACGAGGGATAACCTAATGATTTTCAAATTTCAAAAGATTGTAGGCTGTTTTGTTTCATCGTGTCTTTATTATAATTTGTTTCTATAATCGCTCTTTCAGTTGTATTGCCAATTGCATATGCAGGAAATTTTCCGTGAAGATTCCTGCACTAACGCCTATCGGATATAATCCAACGCCCTTCGTGGTATTAGCCAGGGGAGTAGTTGTTTTCTGATAGGCGTCAGTCTATTCAACCTACTGTATAGGTATATTCGAGACTGGTTTGAACGTTTAAAGTTCATTTCTTTAGAAATATACAATAGTTGATATTACAGTTTTTTTTTCGATAAAAGCTTGAGCGCTTGCTTAGGTACCTACTTTTTTATGGTGACTATTCAATTGGGAATGCATAAATGCCATCGTTTTTGTTATTGCTCCTTGCTAATCGAGTGTGCTAATCGAGTTACTGTAGATTTCACATGACGTATGGAAATTTCCATTGTTATGAGTGATCGTGTCGAAGTATTCATTCAAGTAACTACTACAATCGTGTTTTTATTACACAACATTCAATATACTCCTGTAAGAAAATAAATCATTTCGAATCGACCTTAACCTAAAACAAGATATGAGATGCGGTAGAAATTTAGTGCGCACTTTTTTGGAATATTATCACAATACTGGAGCAATTCCTGTGGAAATTGGGTCACAGATTGCCAGTAAAAAGCGAAGACCAAGAACGAACCAAGTCAAAAGAAGAAACAAAAACCTTTATCAGAGGCCTTTGACGAGTCGCACTCAAGCCCAATTGCATTTCCAGAATCTGAATATTTACGACAGCGAAACGTCTTTCGATGACTATACTTTCAGTTACAGACATTCCAGTCCTCAGAGGACATTTGAAAAAATAAGGGAACAACTTAACTCAAGAGGTACTGCTAGAGGCAACCCGCAGAAATACTTCACAAATAATTCACCTCCTCCAACCACTTTTGTTGTTCTACCAGAACCCGGGCTGTCTATCATTGATTTTAATGTTATTTCCAGAGATGATATTGAAGCAGTGTCAAATCTAAATCAAAGAAAATTAAATAAAAGGAAAAATTAATCCAAAGACGAGTTTCACTCAATATCCCTTCAAATACACTACAATACGATGGTAAATTATCCAGATATTGCTGATATACAATGTGTCCAAGTAATATGGGTCAGCATAGGAAAATCTAAAACCGCAACAAATTCAAATCCCATTTTAAAATGTACTAATGAAACTACTAGGTGATACGTCAGTGAGGTTGCCAAAAAGCTGATTCTTTTCCCGATTCATGTGAAAAATTAAAATTCTTGATGCTTTCTCGCAGACAAAACGTTTGGTTTTCACGGATTTTCGACATATTTTATCAATTTGTCTCAGCAGAATAATTTCATCTCAAAGTGCCTTAGGGTTCATATTACCATTCAGTAAAAGAATATCAGTATTAGTATAACCACCGTATAGAACTAAAATAAGGTGGTATTACTTTCTTGGCTGAATGAACCAGTGTTGCCAACCTGAAGCCTAAAGTCGGTAGAACCAATCGTGAAAAATCGGTAGATTTGAAAATAGAGATATAAACAGACATCAATTCACCTTATTAAGTGATGCCACCCCATGGTTGCCAACTGCGGTAAAATAATGACATTTGACAATTTGACATTTGCTAATGAATAAATAACTTATCAAAAATGAAAATGCAGAGTTCCTTCTGCATTTTAATTTTTGAGACATAATTGGGACAGACCATCTTATATTTCTTCATAGCTGATTCTTCATTCTGGAGCCCCAACTACTTTGTTTAGATTATTAAAGAAAGGTAAAGCAAAATTCAAAAACTGTAAAAATAATTTAGTTGTCGCATCGTTTAATTTCGTGAAATATTTTCTGCGGCCTGAATATCGTTATTTGACACACAATCTGTGAGAAATAATAGTAGGGCCACATATTGTTCTAAAATTCTAGAAACAACACTATGTAACGATAACCACCGAGTTTGCGAATGATGTAGAATTTCATGAATTTCAATCCCACAATGTTTTTTAAAATTCTGCACATTCTTTAATTCTTTCAAGACTAGTACTGTTATAACTGTAAATGAAAAATGAGAGATGAAACTTTCCATGTTTTTTACCACCTTTATTTGTAACAAATGTTACTGCAGTTTTGTCCTATGACATTTTCAAACTAATACAAGAAACTGAAAATAATTGATAAGTTCTTATATATCTAAACATCACTATAGGTAATAACAGAGGCACTTAATTTAATTGAGACCTGAATTTCGTTCACCTGTGACAATGTGGGTATGCTAATTTGAAAATAGGTGAGTAAACTAGATCGATTTGATCATTTAGCAGGTTACATCCGCAATGATAGTACCATGACCAGCAGAGAACGAAGGCAGTACGATATCGGTATTTAATGTGGTTACCAAGAAAATTGTGGAGGTCGCTGACAACGAGTCAGACTTTTAATTCAATTTGATTTAATTTTGGCTTACATCCCAACTTCAATTCGATCCGGCCAGATACATTTACCGGACATATTGAAACTAAGCCAGATGGTAGAACAAAAATAAAACCCCTGTCAGCGTTTTCATATATTGTTGTGGTTTCGTGTGCCTTCCATGCGTAAAAGTAATTTATTTCACCTATTCATCAGTTTATTATATCTATAATTAACGCATTAAAACATTACTCTCGCAAACTCACAATTAAATAACTCAAAACACAAAACATAACCTATGTTGAACATGCATGGCGATGATGGCGCTGTTTGAATAGCGCCACCATCGATAGACATTCTTCCCTGTAGTCGATACTCGAACATGAGCCGTACTCGGGTTCACTATGCGAACGTTCCTTGAACAGCCAAAAGTAGTCAGACCGGTTGAGCCTTGGAAAGTTTGCAATCCACCACGCTAAAAGCTAAGCACGTAGCTAACTGACCGACTGTTAAAGTAAAGATGCATAGACCGATGTGTTTTTACCGAATCGCTTTTGTTTGTAAAAATCTCTTGACGCCAAAAATGGTGGGTCAGACAACTTTGTACACATATGTACAGATGGAATAAGATTCGTTTCCAAATTTAAACATTGTTATGCGCTAAGAGCAGCCTCTATGAATGAAAAATGGAATGCCAAAGTATGTCGGATCTCTTTATTTTATGAAGAATGAAGAGTGCCGTAGATAGTGTTTTCGTCAAAATATTTTACATGTGGAGGGGTTTAAGTGATTGCACCATGGTTCTTATATGCATCTTGGCTAAAGTATTATAATGGGATCATAGAATTGAATTCAACATTTCAGTTCTGTGAATGCGTTACATAGCTTGTAGATATGGGGCGTGACATTCATAAAAAGAAAGCTACTCCTTTTTGGTGTTGCCGTTTCTGCCAAAGTCAGGTGGTGACATCTATCGTTCGAAACCTGACGTAAGAAAGCATTGTACAATTAAAATGTTCCATATACAACCTTATGGTGGCGAAGTCATTGTTTACTGATTGAATGGTTTTTAAGGTCCACTTATTTTCCTGCTGCTATTTTACAATTAAACTGTTTCTCCAATTCCAATATTTTTATCTGAAAAGTGCTACTCTCTTCAGAAATATTGCAGTTTTCGATGGTTCATGGGTCATTACCGACTGAGAAAGTGAAATAACTGGAGTTTGCCTCCCCAATCAACTGTCTAGGAAGAACGTCGCCATTCGATTGCATCAAATTATTTATCAAAATGTGTGTAAATCATTAGTGAAACCTATATAATGGCATCAGAACAGAAAAGAGAACAGATTTATGGAATATACTAATGTTAAGTTTCAAGTGTAGAGCAGAAAATCGGATGGAATCGGTGCCAAAGCTTCCAAAAACAAACTCAATTACCTCAATAATGCATTTCATTCCTGGCAATACCTAGACGAATGTTGAGAAGGATATTCTGAAGAAATATGTGGAAGACCTGGAGTTGTTCAAAAAAATCCAATTTGTTGATTATTTTTTAACAATCCCTGAGTCAAATGTCAGCTACAATGGTGTTGACAGTTATGTCACTTGCAGTTGTTTTCCTGCAAAAAGGGACGTTTATATTGTTTATATCTTCAGAGTTAGCAATGTTTTGAGTGCTGTTGAGTAAATAATCCAGTGAATTTTGATTTTTACTTGATTTATCTATCAACAGAAGTGACAAGAGGTTATGCCCGTGAACAACAAACAAAAATCCCTTATGTGAAACTCTTGTCATAAATCCAGTACTATGATTATCAAATATTCAAACATGGTTTTTGGATAAAGGAAAGTTTATTATTGTGGAGATGGATCCCGGAGTCCCAAGCGTACCCATCACCACATTGGCGGGTGTAGCAAGTCTTACTGACTGTGAGTATTTCTTGACACAGATGAACTCCGTAAATGGTTTATAATAGCTTATTGTGTAAACTTATAAGAAATTCCTACATTTTCTCTGTGTGATTTATTCTCAGAGATGCATTCAGGTTTTAAAATTTTCAACTTTAAAATGTTGTCTATAGAGTCCTCATTTTTTATAGGTAATGTAACCTCAGTTTTACTCTGGAGGTTGCAAATGAACCTCATTATATTCAAGGCTTTGGTTCATGAAATATCACTTTCTTTTAAAGAAATTTATAGACTGTTGATCAATCAGTAGATTAAACCATTTATTTAGACTGCTTACCAGCACAGATATCTCCATAATAAGCCCTAACAGATATCGTCTTAGGTCGGTTTAGTTTAGATGAGATAAATATCATTAAAGTCATCAACAAGAACAAATGTCATATTCATGATCAGTGGTATAATGTTAAAAACATACTGGAATTTTTGGTAGCTATTCAGTGTATTGAAGAAAGTATAGCATACACACTGTTAAAGGCCTATAATATTCAGGCTTTAAAAGTATTTGTGTCCTATTTTTTGCTTCAAGTTATGAGATTCAAAATGCCTAAGACAGGTGGCTGTTGACTGGTCGATATGAGTATATAATCCTTTTTTTATGAGAACATTTTCACAATAGTCGATTATTCAAAATTTTCTTCATTTCTGGGATAATATTACAAGGAAAATTTTCCTCTATTATAGATTTTCATTTTTGTTTCAAGATTCATTATAAAAAATGAATTCATTGAATAATATCATTTTGGTTCTGGAAGAAATCTGTTGTTGAAAACTGAGAAATAAAAAAATAGTTGTACCAGAGTCTAAAATACACAGAAACCCTCTAAATGTACATTAGTCTATAGCTATGTTACAAGTCACAATTACCAAATGTTCATAAATACATATTCAGACAATTCATATATGCAACACATAAAACATGCTGAGGAGAGCTAATAGGTGGGTATATCCATCCTTTTTTAATCACTCTCGTAGCCAATGTTCTCAATTCAGTGTTCACTCAGTCCATTTCTTCAAATATACACAGTAATATTGTTGAGTGCATTGTGGTAGGAACCTTTTCTGTTCTGGTAAGGTTTGGTTCAATATACTTTAAATATATGTTTTTCTTGTAAAAAGTATGAACTCTTATATGATATGTACAAACCGATTCAGCCTCGTCCCTATAACTTTTTTGTCTCAGTGTGTAATTCTGGTTATTTGAATGGTATTACATTTGGGTTGAATTGATCAAAAATATTTATTGGCGCATTTCCAGTTTTACAGAAGATTACCATCACTTCTGAATTTCCAATGAAACATCCAGTATATCTATACATTTTTGGATCCGGCAATTTATTCTACATACGAAGATCCTATTTTGGTGGGAAAATACTTTGAAGTATTTTTTAACAGTTTTTCAGGGTATTGATCACTGAAAAAAATTTGATTTGCTTCTATGATCTTTGTGGAAATCAATCTTGTGATACCATTTGAACCACCAACTCCACATTGATATGAAGACAAACTGAAAGTTATGGGGGCGAGCCTGAATTGATTCACACCTGGAATGTTGAAAAGAGGGTTGTATTTTTCAATACTTATTTACTGTTATTACTACTTACCCAGACTGACTTGTCCATTTCTTACGGATATCTGGAAAATACTTCAGCATCAAGGGG